ACACACACACACACACACACACACACTCACACACACACACACACACACACACACACACACACACACACACACACATGCTAACCTTGAAGCTGGTTGTAATGGAGGCGTACTTATTGTCTGCAGTCTCTGGGTTTCCTATCAAGTAATCCCAGCTGGTGAACATCTTCCAGCTGAAAGTGAACTCTCCCTCCTCCGCACCGTCCCCTCCTTCATTGGCGTTACGAGCCATCCTGCAAAATTAAAATCCCCATATTGAAAATAAACAAACATCTCTTTCCTTTGAAGTACATCTGATTGTTGTGTGTCCTGCCTTACGTTCTTATGACAACCATCAGGCTGTATCCAAAGATGCCAACGCCCACCAGCAGGTATGACAGTGGGAGCCTGAACTGCAGCAGCCCGATCCTTCGATTGTTGTTGAAGTACCCGTAGAACAAAAAGGAATACTTGATGTATCCCTGTTGAAGTGTTCAAAGAGTCATACAAATAGACACATTAAAGGGGTCAATCCTTGGTCCATTGCATTTTATATTATACATAAATAACATAATTATTTTTAATCAACACTTCAATGTTATATTCTTTGCATTGATGATAACGCTTTATATTTCCCAGGTTCCATTCTAATTAAGGCCTTGTCAAATCTTCAGTCTGCCTTTGATGCTTTGCTTTCTAATTATCATTACATAACAATGCAGAAATCACCAATGGGTTAGGGTTAGGGTTATTCTGCACCTACACCATTGATTCTGACTTTCCTTCCATCAAAACTTTAACTAACAGCAGACTGTCATTCAAGTTTCAAATTCAACATTTAACACAAATATTTGAAATAAACTTCTAGTACTAAATAGATATGTCTTTTTTTTTCCATCTGTAAAACTATTGTGCACTTGATGTCTTTCCTTGAATGTGTACATATCCTGTATTGTCCCACTGTTCCATTAACCCAATTACTTTGCTTTATCACAAACTTAATTCTCATTGTTCTCTTTATCAAACCGGGAGGTGGATGTCATCACAGTCTTATTCTCAATGAGACCAAATTAAGATGACATACAAACCATTAAAAAAACTCCAGAAAACGTCTTTCCCACATTTTGAACAAGTCTAAACAAAGATTAAGTAAAAAAAACAATAACTTCTTGTTAAGAACAAATCAAGACAGCCTTGAGTCTCCAGCCATGCTGTGAATAAATTCAACCAAGCTAAAATCCTTACTCCAAAGTCATTGAGCACGGAGAAGTCCATGGCTGTTTCCTGCTCTTCACGGGGCACAGTTTTCCTGGGAATTGAGCCATAGGGAAGACCCATAAGAATCTAAACAGAGGAAATGCATGGAGGTGAGATAGGAAAGCTGAAAACGTGAACAATGTCTGCTGCATCAAGAACCACCTCATAACGTTTACTAGGAAAAAGGCTGTACCTCAGGCAGCACCACCAGGCCAAACATGAGCCCAAACAGGACCATATTCAGACCATACATCCACCTCAGGAAAATAAAGTAGGAGGCCACTGATGACCCGAAGTGACCTATGATACGGGAGACAGAGAACTTGACTTTGCAATGTAGTTATATTAGAAACAGTAAGATCCTTTTTTACAACTATGTCAAAGTGGTACTTACTTTCTACTTCCTTTATCTTTTGCTCCCAGGGTATACAGGCTGTTTTGAAGTTCTCAAAGTCACGTTTAAATTTGATTAGTTTCTGAAGTAAAATAAAAAGGTTTTAAATAGTTAATTCCATAATATCATCCTCGTTATAAAGTTGTTGTTGTTGTTCTTTGAGTGTTGCACAATGAGCAGATTACCTTGGCCATCATGACTTTGTACGCATACAGCTTCCTGCCTTTTCCTTTCCCGAGAGCTCCTTCAAATTTTTCAACAAACTCCTGAGCTTCCCTGTCAGGTAATATAAACAACAATGAAATAAAGTGAGCGACATCCAACTGAAAAACATGATCTATTCAACCAAGGACTGAATTAGTCATTGGCTAAAGGGAACACAGGAAAACCAATGATGATTGATGGTGCAATTCATATGGTGAGAGCATCAGGAGGAAGAGTTGGCAAGCAGCAGGTGAGTTAGCCACAACAATATGCATTAAAGCGTCAAGCTCATTAACAATTTAAGGCAGTCCACCTATCGGGTTGCCTTGCTTACACTGATCTTTACATAGAGCAACGTACGTGTGCACACTAACCTACATTGGCCCTGGCCCAGCAGTGTAACCTCTTCTCACACTAAGAGGAAGATGTGTAACAGGCTGAATTACACCCAGCGTAGTGTTTGCTGCTGCTGCGTGTTTACCTGAGATTTACAGACTGTCCTTATGTCTCATGTGAGAGAATGTCCATGATGGCATACGATTGTGTGTGTGGATGGACAAATATCTTCCTGGATCTAATCATTTTTGAGTGTTTTCCAAAGGATGGTTTTTAGCACTAAGAGCTTTTATCTAGAGCAGAATGTAATGTATCAGAAAAAATAAGATTAATCTGGCAAACCATAGCATTATCGTCCAAGAAAATTTGTATTTGAGTGATAAGCAAGTTATTGTCCCGTTTACCAATAATAACTTTGATTTGCAATATAACAAAATGAGATCATAGGAAAGATGCTCTGACTTTTAGTAGTTCGTTTTGACTTTTCATAGATCACAGCACTGATAAAGAGAAGTAAAAAACAGCTTAGTTAGAGATTAACACGTTTTAATAACCAATAATCAACATCACATGTATATGACATGAGGGATGGCATTTAGGGAAGTGGGTGTAAGAAAAAATTAAAACAAGAACAAAAAATATATGAAAAAACTAAATGCAACAGCAACCACAAGTGGACAGGCAGAGGATGTGAGTTTTGTGTTTTGGTTTTTACTTGAGCAGTATGAGTCTCCTCTTCATGCGCCAGGGTTTGTTTCTTAACGTAGCAATCAATTTCTTCTTCTCCTCCACCTGTTCCTTCAGGGCTTCCATCTCTCCCTCCGACAGCGACTCTTCATCAGAACCAGAGGAGGAGGAGGAGGAGGAAGAAGAGCTGATAAAGGGAAAAGAGCTGTCACATGCCATGGCTTTGACATCTTAACGTGTTGGTGTTGTGTTTCTTGCATTGTAAATCACTTTTTGGGCTACAACATTTCAGACTACAGTTTGAAGTCAGTATTCAGTTTTGCACCCATTATCTTGACATCACGTTTGTAAGAGAACATTTTTCAATGCGAGATCAGGCAAGTTCATACCTTAGTCTTTTCAATACCGTGGGTATCCAAGACTTATACAGTTGTAATACATTTAATTCTCAAGTAAATTCTCTTTTCATCTGGCACCATCATGAGGTTGTTGTAAAAATGTGTCCAATGGTCTGGGTCACAATAAGGCTTCATAAGGAAATCCATTGTTTCCCTGTAGTGGCACGTCTGGTGTGAGCTCCTCTCTTTTTCTGTGTTTTTCAAAGTTAAAATGTTGTCAACATTTGTGCTGCGTTTGTTTTATTTCTAGAAAAATTAAGTTATGATATGACCGTCATCAGATTCACCGTATGGATTCAAAATGTTGCTACACAAATGTAAAACGTGTTCCTTATTGAGACTGGATAGTCAGAGCTGGATGTAAGCTGCATTTAAAAATTCAGCCAACTCCCAGCCAATAAAACAGTAGGGAGATCTGATGTCTCAGGATGTTTTGTCCTGTTGCCTTTATATTAACGCAGCAGTAAATTATGGATGAAGAAATTAGATTACACCATCCATCGTAACAGCCAAAAATCTGTAACATGCTGACTTGTTCACAAAAAACGGTATGAAGTCTTTAACAAGCCAATGTTAAACTGTTCTCAGTACATGAACAGTACATGACTGCTAATATGCCACATCGAAAACTAACTAGATAACCTCTTAAAGGGGCTCTATTATGCCTTTTGGGGGTTTTATCTTTCCTTTGGTGTGTTATAGGTTTCTGTGCATGTTAATGGTCTGCAAAGGCTAAAATCCCAAGGTTCCATCCAGAGGGAGTTTCTCTCCCACAAAATCCCCCCCTGCCTGAAACACCTCCATTGGACTCATTTGTTTACTTAGTAACTTAGTGACATCACTATGTAAGAGCAGACTGGGCTCTGGTTTCAGACAGAGGGTGAAAAGAGGTGCTGCAGCACAGGCAGTATGAGAAACATAAATACCTTTTTGAACATTGAAGCGTGTAAACAGGTCACAGTAGAAGCACACAATACAACTATGAACTTGAAAATTAGCAAAATAGGGCCCCTTTAATGGCATGAATTAAGGGAATGCCTCTGAGGGAAAAAAAGCCCATCCGGGTCTGTGAAGAGTGCAGGGAGGTCAGAGAATACTGCACCTGCTTATCTTCCCATTCTTCTTTTTCTTGTCCTTCTCCCCACCTTTGTCCTTCCCTTGTTTCCCTTTAACCTCCCCCTTCTCCTTGTTCTGCTCCTCTTTATCCTTTTTGGACCCGGCTGTCCCTTGCTTTCTTCTTTTCTTTTTGTCTTCTTCGCTCTCTTCGTCGCTCTCCTCCTTAGCTTTCTTCCTGGAAGCTTTTGAAGTTTTTCTTTTCACGCTCTGCTTTTCTTCCTCGTCGTCTTCATCGCTGTCCTGTGGCTTGGTCTTCTTCCTTCGTCCTTTCTTCCTTGGTGCCTCATCCTCATCTTCCTCATCCTCGTCATCGTCGCTGACCTTTTTGGCTTTACGTTGTGGTTTGGCTCTTCTGTTTTGAGCTCTCCTCCTGGCCTCGTCTGAGTAAAAAACATGCACATTATAAGTAAATTGAAATAAGCTGAACATTCATCCAACATGACATCAGGTAATAATAATACTATCATTTAATTGTAGCTCATCAATAATTCAAAGTATTCAAAGGACGAGGTGCAAAAAGGTCATCTGAAATTGTTTTATTAAGTCTCTATTAAAGAAGAATGTTTTAAAGTTGCATCTAATCTTGGACAAGAGAGGCAAAATAGGGAAAAACACAGTGGTATTTATACTTATTTGTTCATAATATTCCAGAAAAAGATCATGACATGTTCAAATCCTGCTCCATTGAATTGTTTCTCTGATGAAAAGGAAACAAACTCACCTTCACTTCCACTGTCTGATACAGCATCAACCTCCATCCCAACTGGGAACATATAGAACAACAAGCACAAATGAAGAGGAAACATCCCAACCCAAACAAAAACATGCCTTTTAAGACATTGCCTCTTAATTGTTGTAGAGCAGAAGTTTAAAGTAGCACAAAATATAAATTGTTAGCTAGGTACCTCCAAATTGTACTTTATTAAATGTAGTTACTGTCCAACACTTTCATAACCCCAAATAATTAAGTTTACTCAGTGATTATCAATGTAGTCAAAAAGTAAATAGTTAGAGTTAGAGAAGAGTGATTGTTAGAAACATTAAACAAACTGTTACTTTTATCAAGATATCATGAAACAATCTTCTCACCTTCTTCAACCCGAATGGCAGAATGGTTTTTCCTCTTTGGAGGCATTTTGCTGTGTCTCTTTTAGATATTTCCTTTAGTTAGTCCTCGTCTGCTCACTTTTGCCTCCTCTCCTTCCATGAGTTTAAAGGAGCTGTAACACTTGTGATGGTGCTGCGACAAAAAGCCAGGATACACACCATCAACCACACACACACACACACACACACACACACACACACACACACACACACACACACACACACACACACACACACACACANCCCATGTGTACATCGAAAGACCTAATTGGTTGTTTTGTCCAAAGTTCAGCTAAAGTGGGCTCTTTGCAGTCTCAGTTACTAGAGGGTGTTTTACAACTCATATTCTTTTTTTTGTTGTTGGTGTAAATATATTTTCGCTGTAGCTCAACAAGGAAACACTTTGTACAAAAAGACTGAATATGGCTTTGTAAAATACAATTTTGTTTGACTGCTAAAGCCTCTTATTGGCCATATAAAAGGTCCAGTTTGCCATAGTTTCAGGAGTGACTTATCACTGTGTGGCATATCCTTTCACAAACAAATAATTATGTAAACATTACAAAATGCTGGATAATGTCACGATTCTCATGTTAGGTCACGTTTATAGTTTTGTAGGTTTGGGTGTTTTTGCTGTTTTCCATGTCACGTTTCCCTTTGGGTTATTGTCTTGTCATTAGTTTCCCTGGTGTGTCTAATTGTCTGATTATGTTCACCTGGGTCCCTGTGTTTTCTCCTCCCTCCTCACCTGTGTCTTGTTGTGTGATTGAGTCTTGTGTGTATTTAAGTTCTGGGTTTTCTGTCTGTCTTGGTCGGTTCGTCCTTTGTCCCTGACTAGTTCTGCGGTGAGTGTTCTGTTTTTGTCATTGTACACATATCTCATAGCCTTGAAATAAAGGAAGTTTCAGTTTAAATCTGCATTTGGGTCCCTGCTGTTGTTTATATCACAAGCGCGAGGGACATCCAAAATAATGTGTATATTTTTTCCATTTTAAATGCAGTGACCTGGGAACTAAGTATGACATTGTGTCAAAGTAATGTGTCGTATCGCCTGTGTCGCAGCCACCGGCAGCCCTCTGATCTCCCTGGCAGAAAAACAGACATGTTGTGTTCCAAAATGTTGTACGAGTTGCAGTATAATGCAACTGAATACCGAAGTATAGTCGTTAACTCGTAAAAGCGTGGAATGATCAGTAGACTATGGTGGCATAATTTATTCCTGAATATTTTTAGCATATTTAAGGTGGACTGGATGCATCAACTGGGCTGTGAGTCGGGATCCGACTGTTCGCAGTACTAAACCTGTGTAAGAACATATTGATGCAAATGGATTTTTACGAATACTAATTTTCAGCGCTAGAGGGCAGGCATTTCAGCTCTTTTAGATGACTTTCATGACCTCTGTTGTTAGGGACACTTCCACATGGCAAGCGTCACGTTGAAGCTTGCCGGGTGCTGCTCCCGCTCCGCGGATGCACAGAGGGCACCGCGGGTTTTGATTGGCTATGCGCTTGTAGCTGACATATACAGCTTTGATTGGCTGAAAAAGTTGAACTCTTTCTCACTTTGCGAAAGCGAGCAACGGAGGTGCAAAAAAAAAAGGGCGACGCAATGGAAACACAATGCAGTTGCGGCCAGAAGGCGTGACATACCCCCATTTCAAAGTGAATGGGAAGCTCTCCGTTGAAGGCGCGAGACACTGCCGTGTGGACCACCGTAAACATTTTGCAAAATTAGCCAGAAAGCCAGGGAACAGTTTAATAAAACAAAAAAGGAAATAAATATTATCAGACAAATTCAGTAATGAACAAAAGGTCCATAACTCAATTTTTTCTTAAAAAAAAAAATAATTATTTCAAATAACTGAACTTTAAAATGTGCACCAATTAAATTAGACTAAGGAAGTACTGTAATTGGATACCAAATTGAAAGCATGGCTACAAGCTTTGCAAATGAGTTACAGATATATAAAACCAATAACCATTTAATACCATATAAACATATGAACAGTAAAAGAAAAATAGTCCATCAGCGTTTAATGCAAGTTATAATGTGACATTTTCCTGCGTTTTTAATAGCCTGTATGCATTTTAGTTATACCATTTTTAGGTGACACATTCAAAAAGTGTCTTTACATGACAATTAAATACAAATTAAAACCTCTCTCTATCATGCAATCCCCAATTTAAATAAACGTAAGCATAAAG